TTAATTTAATTTTAAGATATTAAAAATTTTAAATTGATACCTGATTTTTGAATTTTTTTTTTAATCAAATCTGATTTTTGAAATGTGATATTTAAACACCTGGATTTGTGATAGAATCGGATTTTTTAAGTTACCATTTCAAAAATTAGATTTGATAATTTTTTGTTCAAAAATCAAATGATAATTCAATTTTTAATATTAATAACAATATTATTAAATTAAATTAATTTACTACCTCCACTCTACCCACCTCACAAACCCTAATTCATTTTGAAAAATATCCATCTTCCCACTGCTTTATTTCAGCACTTCGACACCTCGCAACGAACCCACTAGGCGACTCCTTATGGCACTCTCTTCGATTATTCATCAAGACGCAGCAATGACGGCTTTCCACGGTGCAAATTCGTTCTTCTTCTTCTTTTTGTTTTTAACTTTTGACTGGTAGGATGATTTGTTTGGTAGTGGTACTGTGGTATGATGGTGGTGTGTTGTGTAGTGGTGGTGATAGTGTGTTGGTTTTGAGATTGCGATGGTGGCGGAGGTGTGTAGTGCTGTTTGGTGGTGCGAACAAAGAGCTCTGGTGGGTGCATTGTTGGTGTGGTGTGCGATTGTGGTGTTGTGGGTGAGGTGATAGTGTGCGGTTGTGGTGCAGTGTGCTATGGGTATAGTGCTGTATGCTACGAGTGCGGTTGTGGTGCGGTGTTGTGTACTGTGGGTGCGGTTGTATGTGTGCGATGGTGTTGGCGGTATAGTGGTGGCTCATGTGGCGGTGATGTTTGACGGTGGTGTTGTGGGTGACGCGGTGGTAAGGTGATGGTCACAAATGTGGTGGTAGTGGTTACAAATTATTTGGTTGATTGTGACCAATAAATTGGTTAATTTGTGATCAATAAATAACGTGATCAATTATTTGAGATTGTAACCAATAAATTGGATATTTTGTGATCATATACGATCGATAACTTGTGACAAATAAATAATGTGACCTAAAAATTTGAATCATGACTTAAATAATTTGTAATCTATAAAAAATTTTATTCATGATCGAGAAATAATTTGTGACAAGTTAATTCGATAATTTGTAACCAAATAGTACAAAATTGTGACATTATTATTTATATATTATAAGAATGAAGGCAAATCTTTGTATTTTATAATATATATATATAAATTGTACTTGTAGCCTAATGCTAGCGAATTGGTGGGAGTCGAGTATAAAAGAAATCAGAAACCTGCCGAGGGAAAAGTACAACAATAAGAAGAAAAATGAGTAGAAGTCATGAAATCTTGAAGCCAAGTTCTGTGGATATACATTTATATGAGGCCATTTGTGGTATTTAAAATGCGAATATAATGATAGACTAAGATATTTTAGTACTTCATCCCACACATCCTTAACTGCAGTATAGATGTGCAAATGCACGTAAATGACCAACAAATGCATATTTTGATACAAAGACAGAGACATATTTACAGGCGCGAGTGCACACAGTGGTTGCAAAACTAAGAAAAGGTAATATTCATAATTTTTGAGAAATTGTAATTCAACTTAAAGGACTGTAAGTGTAGTAAATAATAAATTTTAGCATTCAAACAAGAAAACTCTTATTCAACATAAAGGATTATAGGAAACTTAGTGCTAGTAACTGACTCGTGAAGTAAACACAATAGTCACAAGCATAAGTTAAACAAAATATATACAGTATCCTGCCCCTCCGACTTCACTTTAGCTTCTTTTTTCCAGAATGCCAAATCAACTAATTTAACCTCACGTTTACAGTTCTGTGAACAAATATATATCATCCATGCATAAACCAGAGTAAAGTTGGCCGTGTCACGTTCTGCTGGCCCATGACGGGGCCTGTCATGGTCCAACACTTTTGTGCGTTGGGCCAGGGCAACGGTAAGATGCAAATGAAGAGGAACGAAGAAGGGAACGGAAGGAATGTGATATTTTTCTGGGAGAGAAAAGGAAGAAAGGCAGCGTCAGAGCAGTGCAGCAATAGTTTTGTGAGTGGATTTACCAAATTTTGGCTTACTTTTAGGCAAAAAAAAAAAAAAAAAGGAATAATAGAGAAACAATAAAGCTATTAGTACAAAGTTGAGTTGCAAAAATTGGGTTACAAAGTGTGTTGGCAAANTTGGTGTAGATGTTATTTTGTAAACTAACTTTGTAACCCAATTTTGTACATGTAGCATAACTCACTTCAATTGTTTCCCAATAAACCTAACAACTTATAATAGTTGGACAAGTGAAGTTTTAATCATTTTGTGGCACATAGCAAGGCACTGGAAATTCTGAAATCCTCTTAAGTGAAAAGGATTATAAATAACAAGCATCAAGCATGTAAAATGAAACAGTAACTAGAACAATTATGTATGTTTCTTAGGAAAAACATTTATCGCTTCCCATCCTCTGAAAATTGAAAGTCATAATCCTTTGAATTAGGAAAAAGTTCAATAAAACCAGACAAAATTTCAGAACTTACTCTTCAAGCATCCAGTAGCTACGCCTTCGAAAATTTTCATTATCTTCTCCATGGGCATAGTAGCAATGAAATACATCAATGCTTCCAGCTTGAAAAAGAAAAATATTAAGCTCAAGATACATTATTTTTGAAGCATCAACATATAAATGGCATCATAACAAAATGCCAGTGCAATTTTTTGGATTCATACCTTAAAATTCAAGTCCACAAAACATAGCAACATCACCCAGAACATACCTTGAGCCTCCTTCACTGTCTTTCCATCTTTCTTCTTCCTCCAATTATGGCCATCAATCCGGAAGTATCTCAGCACCCTCCAGTCAAAAAGAAAATGGGAACCACCTGAAAAGTAACAAGAAAATTATAATAATTTTGTCAGACCTACTAACTCGAATGTGAAATATGGCAATTAAATTTTGAAGAGAACCACTGAATGGTGGAAACTACAAAGCAGATGTTGAATACACAGTTAAACTTTGTAAAAAGATATATTAATCAGCTTAATGCTCAATACAATACAAATGAAGATGAGGTGAAATTTATACAAGTAAAGAATATTTTAGATGTTAAATCTAAGTTGTACAAGTGAAAAAGGATTCAATGGTGATCCATAATTTAAGGGTGGTCCAGCAACTAGGAGGAGAGAGAGAGAGAGAGAGAGAGAGAGAGAGAGAGAGAGAGAGAGCTGAGTAGAATTCTGGTGCACCTGACTCAGTAAAACGTGAGTGTGCCATATGGAGTAAAACGTAAGCGTGCCAGTAAAACGTGAATGTGCCGTGAGTGTGCCATATCAGGTAAGCAAATCTTGAGTATGATACACCTTTAGTCATCAAGTCAGCAATCTGATCTGCAGTAGGGATGTATTTTACTTCCAGTTCTCTTGCAAGAATTTTATCCCTTATGAAGTGAACATCTAATTCAATGTGCTTTGTTCTAGCATGGAACACAGGATTGGCTGCCAAGGCTCCAGCACTGAGGTTGTCGCACCAGATAATTGGAATTGAGGCTGATTGTAATTTGAGCTCCTTAAATAGCGACTGTATCCATGCTATTTCAGACGCAGTAGAGGCAAGAGCTCTGTATTCTGCTTCCGTGCTAGATCTTGCGACAACATGTTGCTTCTTAGACGACCAAGATACTAGGCTGTCTCCTAGATAAATACAGTAGGCTGCCACTGATCTTCTATCATCAGGGCACGATGCCCAGTCTGCATCAGAGTAGCAGGTTATCATTAGATTATCGCTTCTTTTGATCCATAGTCCTCGATTGATTGTGCCTTTTAGATATCTTAAGACTCTCTTCATTGCTTGCCAATGTACTGATGTTGGTTCCTGTAGGAATTGACTGAGTTTATTAACAGCAAAGGTTATCTGGCCTGGTATGTGACAAATATTGAAGACCTCCAACAACACTCATGTAGACTGAATGATTTTTTAGGACTTCACCTTCGGTTTTAGACATTGTTTTTCCAACTGCACTAGGCGTAGGACATGATTTGATGTTTTGAAGATCAAATCTTTTGAACAACTCACATATATACTATGATTGAGTCAGATGGATTCCTGCACTATGCCTGTGAACTTCTATGCCTAGGAAATGATGAAGCTCGCCCATATCTTTGAGAGCAAATTGCCTGTGGAGTTTATTTATGAAGCTCTGCAGTAGATCACTATTGTTGCCAGTGATTATTATATCGTCCACGTAAACAAGTATAAAAATTATATCCCTTTCTGTTGTGAAGTAGAAGAGTGAAGTGTCCGCTCTTTATTGCTGAAACTTCTAGTCAGTTAGTGTGTTTTTCAACTTGTCATACCAAGTCCTTGGTGCTTGCTTGAGTCCATACAAGGCTTTATCAAGTTTGCAGACATGTTTGGGCTTTGTTTTATCAATAAAGCAATCTGGCTGATGCATATAGACGGTTTCCTCCAAATCACCATTGAGGAAAGCATTGTTGATATTTACTTGCCTTATTTTCCAATCCTTTGATACTGCAAGAGTGAGGATGATTTTCAGCGTAGATGTCTTCAATACTGGACTGAATGTCTCATAGAAATCAACCCTTGGAGTTTGGTGAAAACCCTTTGCAACTAACCTTGCTTTGAACCTTTAAAATGATCCATCAGAGTTTTGTTTCAACTTGAACACCAATTTGTTTCCCACTATGTTGTAGGATGGAGATGGGGGTACCAATCTCCATGTCTTATTTCTGATCAGTGATTGTACTCCTCAATCATTGCTTTCTTCCAATTTTCATCCTTCAAGGCCTCAGTAGGATTTTCAGGTTCAATTCTACTTAGTTTACCTTCGATTGCCTGACTGGATAAGACTTTAGGTTTGAAGATACCAGCATTTGCTCTTGTTAGCATGGAGTGCCCTCTTCTATCACTGTGTTCTGATGGTAATTCCATTTCACTGATGCTTTGATCTCTCACTTCAATATTTTCATTATCATTTGATTCATCATTTTGCTCAGGTTCAGGTTGGTCATTGGAGATTTCTCTTTCAGTTGTAATGTTGAACTCATCATGAGGTAACTCTGCTGATGGTGCAGCTTCAAAAAGGGTGGCATTAGCTGAACCTTTTTCTGTGGAAGGAGTGAAAAATGGAAGTTGTGACTGAGAGTAGGATATGACAGTTTGTTCAGGAGACTTTGATTTATCTTTTGCAAGGAAGATTGACTCAAATGGAAATTCAGACTCATTGAAGATAACATGTCTAGATATGTAGGTTTGCCAGTAGGAATGAGGCACTTGTAGCCTTTGTGAGATGAGCTATAGCTTAGAAAGACACATTTGACTGAGTGGAAGCTGAATTTATGCCTTTGATAAGGTCTTAGGCAAGGATGGCATGAACACCCAAATACTTTAAGGAATGTGTAGTCAGCCCTTTTATTGTTCAGCACCTGATAAGGGGATTGCATTTGAAGGACTTGTAAGGGCATTCTATTAATGAGAAAGGTAGCAGCCTGGAAGGCTTCCACCCAGTATTTTAGTGGCATTTTGCCTTGAGCAAGTAAAGTCAGACCAGTTTCTACAATGTGATGGTATTTTCTTTCAACTCTTCTGTTTTGAGGTGACGTGTGTGGGCAAGGATGTCTAAACTCTATTCCTGATTGTGAGAGATGATTGACAAAACTTCTGTATTCNNNNGATGATTGACAAAACTTCTGTATTCTCCTCCCCAATCAGATTGGAGGATTTTAATTCTTTTATCAAACTTATTTTCAACAAATTTTTGGAATTGAATGAAGATATTCAGAGAATCAAATTTGTTTTTCATTGGATATATCCAGGTGTGTCGACTAAAATCATCAACGAAGGCTATGTAAAATTTGAATAGAGAGGATAGGTGACTGTCTTCATACGTCTGTGTGGATGAGTTCAAGAGGAGCTTTAGCACGTGAACTTGATGTGTTGAAAGGCAACAGATGTGATTTCCATACTGACAGGAATCACAGAAAAACTTGTGTTCATTCATTTTCAAGTTTTGATTACAATCTTTGAGAACTTGGGACATCACCTGACTAGATGGGTGTCTAAGTCTCCTGTACCAAACATGGATCAGGGAGCTATTTGACTCGTGATTCTTGACTCTATTTGACGCAACTATAAACATTGAATTGCACGAATTATTCTGATACGATGAGTTTGGATTCTTTGACTGTGATGTACGATAGATGTTTGGAGGTTCCAGCTGGTACAACCCTTCTTTAAGCCTTTCATGCAGCATCGGTTTCCTCGTTGATTTGTCCTTAACACAACAATAGTTAGAGTAAAATTCCATAAAGACGTGATTATCAGCGGTGAGCTATGAAACACTTATAAGATTTTTCCTTATTTCAGGAACATGAAGCAATTTATCTAGAAGCAAATGTTTATCAGTCGTGGTTGGCATTTTGGATGTGCCTATGTGAGAAATATTGAGTTTGCTTCCATTACCAACCATGATTCTTTCCTTACCAGAGTACTTACTGGCCTGACTGAGATGTTCTGCACTTGAGGAGACATGGTTGCTGGCTCCTGTATCAGCGAACCATGCTGGATCATTTAGTGTTTCTGGTGAGGCAACAAAAGATGAAGGAGTGTGGTTTCTGAAGTTGCTTTGATGTGGTGCAATGGATCCATTGTAGCTCTCATCATATCTGTAATTACAGATATTAGCTTTATGCCCAACATTTCCACAGACTTGACACGTAGGTGGATGATTGAAGTTTGATCTGCCTTTGTATCTGCCTCCTCTTCTACCACCTCTGAAGTTACTGGTGTATAATCTACCACCATTGAAGGAGTTGTAGTTTCTGCCAGAATAGTGATTGTTTGGAGCCCTTTGAGTGAAGTTTGTAGATGATTGACTATGATTGATACGTGCCATTTCATTCTTAATTGTGTTGATGTGATCAAGTCTGCTTTCATAAGTCATAAGGGTGGATTGAAGTTCTTCCCAAGATATAGAATCTCTGCTATTAATTTGGACAACAATGGGTGTATATTCTTCATCTAGGCCAGCCAGAATTTGAGTCACCAAATCTGTGAGTGGTATGACTTTCCCAGCAACTTCAAGATTACTGGCAAAGAGTTTTACCTTGCAAATATTGATCAATACTCAGGTTATCTTTCCTGGTTTTCTGCAGTTCACCAATGAGAAAGGTGATCCTCGGTTTGTTCTGAATGCCATAGCTATCACTTATTGCAGTCCATAGTTTATAAGAGTCTGTAGATCCCATAACTCTCAGTGCAATATCAGGAGTCATTGTTGCATAAAGCTATCCCACGAGTAGCTGATCGATGGATTTCCACTGACTGAATTCTGGAATAGATGTCATCTCTACACTAATCCCTGATTCTCCTATAATCTAAGTGCTAGTAGATTCAGAGGGACACACTTTGGTTCCCAGTAAAAACTCCTCTAGATTGTGGCCTCTGATGATGGGTAGAATCATGTTCTTCCATAGGAGATAGTTGTCTCTGTCGAGTTTGATGGAAGGCGTTTGAGTGAGGTTCACACCAAACGGAGTGCAATGGTTACCTCCCAGCATTGGAGATACCACTTTGTTAGCTACTGAAGTTGATTGAGCCTGCTGACTGTTGGTTCCAACATTATTGGCGTTTGCCATTGGAGCTCTGATACCAAGTTAAACTTTGTAAAAAGATATATTAATCAGCTTAATGCTCAATACAATACAAATGAAGATGAGGTGAAATTTATACAAGTAAAGAATATTTTAGATGTTAAATCTAAGCTGTACAAGTGAAAAAAGATTCAATGGTGATCCATAATTTAAGGGTGGTCCAACAACTAGGAAGAGAGAGAGAGAGAGAGAGAGAGAGAGAGCTGAGTGGAATTCTGGTGCACCTGATTCAGTAAAACGTGAGTGTGCCGTGAGTGTGCCATATGGAGTAAAACGTAAGTGTGCCAGTAAAACGTGAGTGTGCCGTGAGTGTGCCATGTGGAATTTAGTTGGTTAATTCAGCTGTGCTAACATACACGAACTTCAACATTTGGATCTGCGACCAAAAGAATATACTTGGAGAACTAAGATATTTGGTCAATGAATTCAACTCCTGTCTCTTGATATCATGAAATCCTATTCCATGGTAATGCTCAATACTTCAACATAACGTCATTAAAATTTTTGATCCAACCTGTTTATCTTACTCCCCATCGCGGAAGTAACACCCTGCACTTTCACTCTCAGCTTATTTTCATTCATATTGAAGAAGCTAGCATATAAAATCAACAATCATGTTACTTATACAATATTTTTTTTCGATACAAGCAACATCAAATTCATACATTTTAAAAATTATTTTTCAAATCAATGGTCTAAATTTTGACAACATCGATGTTGTCCATCATAATTGTCAACAACAGTTGTATAAATAGTTTTATACAACAAACAAAACCAGGATTACATGAAAATAATGCTTTGTCTTTTCACAATTATTTCATACCTTTTATTTAATGCTCATCGATTCCCAACATTTAACTACAATTCAGTGGAAAATAAATGTACGGTTTCGACCCAATTCCTTTTGGTTTAGATCATTACTACTTCCCATCATGTGTATGTGTGTGGGGGTGTGGGTGTATATATATTTTCCAAGGGCTCAAATTTCACACAACATACGGGCAGGTACCCACATTTTTAAAATGATTACAGGGATCTTCGAGGTTCATTTAAGGGAGAAAAAAAAGGAAAAAAAACTTGGAAATTGACAAATACATACAAATATTTTTATTCAT